TCTTAAACTTAGAGACTTGAAAAAGGTTAGTGGTCTTGACCATTTAGAATCCATACTTGATGGCTGTAAATAGTGTTTTATTTGTCCAAGAAGAGAAAGTCACTATGGGAAAAATACTGTAGATGTTAAATATGATAGCCTTAAATCTTGCCGATCCAGAGTCAGGAAATTGTCATGCATTCCCGAGAGAAAATCTGGATTGCCCCTTATTACGGTTAGTGGTCCAGGAGACGATGAGAGGGAGGTCAGCTTACAAGCTACATGAAAGTTCAAAATCATAGTGCCGAGGAATGGAAAAAAAATCCCCCACTGTACATGTTTAGGTGGAGGCCAGGGCAGAAAGAGCAAGGGGTGGTGAGCTACAGCTTTTACCAAGGCCACCATTTTCTTCTCCCTAGCATGGACATGCCAATCTACAATGCGGACCAAGTGGCAGGCTCGATAGTATTTATAAAATGTCATTGTCATGTTGGAAGGTAAACCTGCTTCCCATTGTCAACTTTTTGTCAGAGGGCAACAGAGGTTTTGGTATTTTGCCCCATCCATTTTTCCTTCTATCTAGACAAGTGCCTGCTGCAGAGCAACATTCCCATAACATGAATGGTGTTATTTGGATGTGAGCTGTATTTCATTTCTGCCGGACCTATCATTTAGTGTTGAGGCCAAATAATTCAATTTTAGTCTCATCTGATTATAATACCTTTTTCCATGTGGCCTTAGAATCTATCAGCAATCCACTATGCCAGGTAACACCCCTAACCATACTGTGGACTAATATCGCATGTACTCTCCAGCGCCTCAGGATATGCACAGCCAAAAGGGAAGCCAAGGGTACCAGGACAGCGACAACCAAAGGAAATGCTTCAGGGGGGCAGCCCTCCTCAGATGGGGAAATCAGCCACTGGATAGAGAAAAAACAGGTGGCGCACACACCTAGTGCATTATCCAAGGTTTATTGTAGGAGTGAAAGAATAATAAAAACATACTCACAGATGAAGCATGTATCTAAAAAGCATAGAAAAATGACAATGGCCACAACGGCAGGCAAGGTGTTCTCACTGTCAGTGCGGTCAAATGGCTGACGCGTTTCGGGGACAAATCCCTTTCCTCAGAGCTGATGACCAACCTTGTTATACCGGACTTTTGCCAGTTCTTTTCTGATCCCCATGGCTCAGTATCTAGCCCAGTCAGTGCTTCCATCACTCTTTCACTCCTACAATAAACCTTGGATAATGCATTAGGTGTGTGCGCCACCTGTTTTCTCTCTATACTGTGGACTAATGGCTCTCCATTTGAACCCACCCAAAATCCACAAGCCTCTAACTCGGGCATCCACCACATGGAGTGGTCAGCCAGCTGCCCACGTCCTGCCCATCGTTGATCCTGTTGACCATCAGGGCCCTCACCATAATCAGTGTCAAGGTACCCCAAAGATCCCTGCTCCCAAACCTTGCAGGGAAAGATGTAAACATTCCAAGAATAAGAAGTGCCCCAACAATACTACCCAACAGGATCACCATCCTATTACAACCTTACAACCCACATGCCTAATGCTCTTCCAAAATCCACAGCTTCTTCCTTTTTTTCCATATCCCATTCCACTCCCCTTTTACTCCCACCCACATCATAGAGATATTTTCCTCCATGACCACATCGATTCTGTGTCTGTACCTCCTCCTACCTCTTTAGAGGAGATACATATCTCTTCCCTTGCTAGTCCTTCAGACAACAATGCACTTTCACCCATTTCCAATTCTGCTTCTTTTTTAGAAACTGTCTCCCCACTCTCCCTAACCACCAAAAGAAAGTTAGGCACAGAGGGAAGAGGGGTGGAGTTCGCAGAAGAGGAAACAGAATAAAGGTTTGGAAACTGTAAAAATATTCAACTTATTTTTACTTCCTTTGTCTTATCAAGAGATCTCTCTACTAAACCGAGGTTTAAACTTTGCACCGTCCACCCATCCTAGCCCATATACAAAGATCTTAACCTATTCATATGTAACCTTGCACTTAAAAGGTATTACAATATCAAATCTATGAAAGACAACCCATCCTCTGCACCTAAAGAGGACTCTGTCGCTTCTCTCAACCACCACAAGATGGATAGCGATATCGATCACATTGGTCTAGTGTTATTAGAAGAATTTTATATTGATGAGGAGGAAACTGATTTAGCCTCTTTTTTCAAAATATCTATTCACTTCTCCTCTGATAAAACACACAGCCTTTAGACCTCAATTTATTTTTTACCCTACACATGCCAAAGGTCTATATTTACAAACTTTTTTTCAAGTAGTATATTTGGACTTACTATGCATATGTAAAAATACATCCACTGCTCACCACAAACATCCCAATCTTACACATGTCAAACTTAGGGCTCTTTAAGATCTAAAATCATAATCATCTGATTATTAAATCTGTAGATAAGGCAGGTGGCATAGTATTGCAAAATAAAGCTGACTATCTCCAAGAAGCACATCTGACCCCCCACATATATAAGAAGTTATTCAAATATCCTTTGTCCACCTAACATACAGAGGCCTATGCTCTAACCAAAGGATATTGGCGTCAACTTGGCTATGGGCTTCTGGGAGTCCCAATTTATATGGCATGACAATACCTTTGCATCTAACATCATCTTTTATGGTCGCTACATTGAAGACATCATCATCATCTGGGACGGCCCAGAGTCCCTATTGGATGGCTTTGTCAACCACTGCAACTCTCACCTCTTTAGTCTGTCCTTCACCTCTGTCCGGGATCCTGCAGCTCTTGCTTTCTTAGAACTCGAGCTTTGTCACAAAGGAAGCAAGATGTGCTAAGAACTATATTAAGCCCAATGCAGGAAATTATTTCCTGCACTTCCACAGTTACCACCATCCCAGATGGATCTCTAATATACCCAAAAGTCAGTTTTGTCGCCTGTGGAGAAACAGATGCACATGTGAAACAAATTACATTACTCAGAGAACATTACTAAAACAGAAATTAATTGCAAAAGGATACCCAGAACCTCTCACCAAAGAGGTCTATTCTTTCTACCTCACCAACAATTATCCCACAGATAATGATAAACATCATTCCATTTCCTACACACAACCAGTCAAATTCAATCCTCAGTGTCATTCACAGTAAAAACATGGCACACATTTTTCAAAAACACTGGCCAATCCTTCTTGAGGATCCTCATTTCCAAACCAAAAGTTTTGTATCAAAAGGCTCGTAATGTTAAAGGTCTAGTAGCTCCCAGCAAATAAATCTAACACCATTATCAAAAATCCGTCATTATGTTTTTTTGCTCTTAAAAGCATGTACCAGTGTTGCAAAGCGACTTGCCAAACATGCAGGCATGGTCAGGATACTTTTACTGTAAAAGGTAGGACATACTCCATTAATAACTTTTATAACTGCTTTTCTGACCATGTTTTATACTGTTAAACCAGTTTGTGTGGTCTTTTGTATACAGGTAGGATCATAAGGACCCTCAGAAAAAGGTTTGGGGAGCACTGTTGCTTAGTCAAAGATGGGATTGACAAGCACAGTGTCCCCGTACATTTTCTGGAGTTTCATGAAAAATCATCCTCTGGCCTTAGAGTATGGGTGATAGAGTTCATTCACAGATCTTTCCCCGTGGCAGGGCGTATGAAGCATCTCTGCCAAATAGAAACGTTCTGCATCTGCACTTTAGATACCTTGGCACCGAGAGGCCACAAAGAGGAAATATAAAGTAAGCATTCTTCTATAGTATGCACAATCCATGTACCTGATGCCCTGTTTTTATAGTGCCCTCTACAAACATGTCTTCTTTTATGCCATAAGAAAGGCCTTTGCGTTTCTCTATACTTATACACAAGTAGATTACAAACACAGTTATGCTTAATATTTCTATATTTTGGACTTTATTCAGGTCAATCTTCCACACCATAGGGGACCATTATGGTCTATATATCAGATCCCCCAGATGTAAGTACCACCCTGGTTTTGTGAGATATATAAGACTTATAGCTTTAAATTTGATTTCTTGAATAGGACCCACTATATATTTTTTTATATCATTTACCTTTTAGATTAGACATTTCTGAGAAATATTCCTCATCCAATTTGCCTTTTTAACCTAGTTGCACTGTTTGATTGTGCTATACCATGTTTTTGTATATACATCACTTAATAATCTTTTTATTACTTTTATTACTTTATTGTTGTCCATGCCAGTCATGCTTCCTAAGTGGGTTGGGCTTAGTAGTCCCACAACTGTGTCTCACCATCTTTATTTTCCATACTCTTTTTTCATATGTTATACATTATATTGCCAAAAGTATTGGGACACCTGCCTTTAAACGCACATGAATTTTAATGGCATTCCAGTCTTTGTCTGTAGGGTTTAATATTGAGTTGGCCCACCCTTTGCAGCTATAACAGCTTCAATTCTTCTGGGAAGGCTGTCCACAAGGTTTAGGAGTGTGTCTATGGGAATGTTTGACCATTCCCCCAGAAGCGCATTTGTGAGGTCAGGACTGATGTTGGATGAAAAGGTCTGGCTTGCAGTCTCCGCTCTAATTCATCTCAAAGTTGTTACAGTATATCAATTTGAGGTCTTTATGGACTTTGCTTTGTGAACTGGTGTGCAGTCATGTTGGAACAGAAAGGGCACATCCCCAAACTGTTGCCACAAAGTTGGGAGCATGAAATTGCCTAAAATGGCTTGCTATGCTGACACTTTAAGAGTTCCTTTTACTGGAACTAAGGAGCAAAGCCCAGCCCCTGAAAAACAACCCAACACCATAGTCCCCCCCTCCACCAAACTTTACACTTGGCACAATGCAATCAGGCAAATACCATTCTCCTAACAACCACCAAACCCAGAAACATCCATCGGATTGCCAGACAGAGAAACATGATTCATCACTCCAGAGAACACATCTCCCCTGTTTTACAGTCCAGTGGTGGTGTGCTTTACACCACTGGATCTGATGCTTTGCAACGCAATTGATGATGTAAGACTTGGACGCAGCTGCTCGGTCATAGGAACCCATTCCATGAAGCTCTCTACGCACTGTTGTCCTAATCTGAAGGCCACATGAAGTTTGTAGGTCTTTAGCTATTGACTCTGCAGACAGTTGGCAACTTCTGTGCACTGTGCACTTCAGCATGCGCTGACCCCGTTCTGTCATTTTACGTGGCCTACCACTTCGTGGCTGAGTTGCTGTTGTGTCCAGTTGCTTCCACCTTGTTATGATACCACTAACAGTTGACCGTGGAATATTTAGTAGTGAGGAACTTTCACGGATGGACTTATTGCACAGGTGCCATCCTATCACTGTACCTGTAGGGAGCCGCCGCGGTGTGGGGCGTGGCGCAGGCGCAGTGTGCCGACTTGCACTGGTGTGCGGGCACTAGGTCCTGGCCGGCCGCAGCGGAGACGGAACTCGCACATGCGCACTTGGGACCGCGGGTGCGCACCTGGCACCAATGACAGCGCAGGGCGCGGTATTTAAATCCGCTCTGCGCTGACACTGGCTGCCATTTGGTCTATCCTGTGTTCCTGCTCCTGTATCCTTTGCTATTTGATCGTTGCTGACCCGGATTGTTCCTGACTGTGCTGTATTCTCCTGCTGTGACCTCTGGCTTGCCTGACCTCTCTCTTGGATGTCCCTCATTGGATCTGACCTTCTGTTACTGACCCGTCGTGTGACCCGACCATTCTCTGCCTGCTGCCTTGTACCGCGCTGCCCTCACGGTTACCTACTCGGCCCCGTCTGACCACGCTTCTGCTCAGCCATCCATCCGTCCTGCTCGGGCCCATCCGCCCCTTCACATCAGGCTCTCATCCTGCAGATACCTCTGGCGGATCCCTCTACCACGGGTAGGTGTACTCAGGGACCGCGACCTGGTCTCTGTCTGCTCCAAGTCCACCCCCACCATCAGGGGCCCTGGTGAACAAGCAGACTGGGACTTAAACTCCATGCTCTGGGGAATCCCATTCCGTGGATTGCTAGAGGTACCGCCAGGTGGTTCATTACAGTACCACTCTTAAATTCACTGAGCTCCTGAGAGCGACCCATTCTTTCACAAATGTTTGTAGAAGCAGTCTGCATGCCTAGGTGCTTAATTTTATACATCTGTGACCATGGAGGTGAGGCCCTCAGTAGACATTAGCAACAGAATGTCAGATATGTTTCAGGAAAGCTTATTGGATCCTCTTTGAAAGGGGTGAAGGTGCGTAATAAGGTTAACTTGTTGCAGTTACTGTTCTGTAGGACTTCAAAATGAGGCAAAGCTGGTGTCAATCTATCTGATGATCCAGGGATGGACCTGGACAGCATCTTTCTGCGTAAAGGCCTAGGGGCCGGAAAAACTAGATCAAGCCTTCTTTGGGGAGAGCATTGTCTTAGAGCCTTATATGAGGAGCTGTAGGAAACCGACTTCAATAGTTCCTCTGGAAAATACTTTTGGAAGGAATACCAATCCAGCAGATCCATTTGTGGGATATCAAGTTGCTCGCAGAAGAGTTGTGAGCTCCCTAGTGATTGCAGAAAGACAAAACAGGAATTTCCAATGACATGTGAGAATATCAACCATAGCACATAGAGCTCTACGATTCTGTATGGTTAGCTGTGAGAAATCTTGGAAAAGCTTGATATCTTTTTCAATATATGCAATCCGACCCCTTTCCCTTGCTTTTGGCATTATTTCCTCTTTAAGGGGAAAGTTCACCAAGCAGCATATGATGTCTCTCAGGGGCTCAAATTCAGAGAAGCAAGGGCACAGGGCTCGATGGGCTCTTTCCATTTCTATGGGGGTATCCAGAGGCCATTTAATTACAGTTGCAAGAAAAAGTATGTGAACCCCTTGGGATTACGTGGAGTTTTGCATGAATTGGGCATAAAATGTGCTCTGAACGTCATCTAAGTCACAACAATAGAAGAACACAGTCTGCTGAACATAATACTACACAAACATTAGATGTTGCCATGGTTTAATTGCACATAACATGTAAACATTCACAGTGCATGGAGGAAAAAGTATGTGAGGCCCTAGCTTAATGACTTCTCCCAGAGCTAATTGGAGCCAGGAGTGAGCCAACCTTGACTCCAATCAGTGTGATGATATTGGATGTGTTGCTGACAGCTGTCCTGCCCTTAAAAAACACACACTTGTTTTGGGTTTACTGGTTTCAAGAAGCACTGTCTGATGTGAACCATGCCTCGCAGAAAAGAGCTCTCAGAAGACCTACGATCAAGAATTGTTGACTTGCATGAAGCTGGAAAGGGTTACAAAAGTATCTCCAAAAGCCTTGATGTTCATGTGTCCACGGTAAGACAGACTGTCTACAAATGAGAAAGTTTAGCACTGTTGCTACTCTCCCTAGGCGCGGTCGTCCTGTAAAAATGACTGCAAGAGCACAGCGCAGAATGCTGCATGAGGTAAAGAAGAATCCCAGAGTGTCAGCTAAAGACCTACAGAAATCTCTGGCACATGCTAACATTTTTGTTGACACATCTACAATAAGGAAAACATGAAACAAGAATGGAGTACATGGGAGGACACCACGGAGGAAGCCATTGTTGTCCAAAAAGAATATTGCAGCACGTTTGAAGTTTGCAAAAGAGCACCTGGATGTTCCACAGCACTACTGGCAAAATATACTGTGGACAGATGAAACCAAGATTGAGTTGTTTGGGAAGAACACACAACACTATGTGTGGAGAAAAAAAGGCACAGCACACCAACATCAAAACCTCATCCCCACTGTAAAACACGGCGGAGGGAGCATCATGGTTTGGGGCTGCTTTGCTGCCTCAGGGCCTGGACGGATTGTTGTCATTGATGGGAAAATGAATTCCAGAGTTTATCAAGACATTTTGCAGGAAAAGGTACGACCATCTGTCCGCCAACTGAAGCTCCGCAGAGGATGGGTGATGCAACAGGACAATGACCCAAAGCATACAAGTCATTGAACAAAACAATGGCTGCAACAGCACAGAATACGCCTTCTGGAGTGGCCCAGTCAGAGTCCTGACCTCAACCCGACTGAAATGCTGTGGCATGACTTTGAGAGCGATTCACACCAAACATCCCAAGAATATTGCTACACTGAAACAGTTTTGTGAAGAGGAGTGGTCCAAAATTACCCCAGATCGTTGTGCAGGTCTGATCTGCAACTACAGGAAACGTTTGGTTGAGGTTATTGCTGCCAAAGGAGGGTCAACAAGTTATTAAGTCCAAAGGTTTCACATACTTTTTCCTCCCTGCACTGTGAATGTTTACATGTTATGTGCAATTAAACCATGGCAACATCTAATTTTGTGTAGTATTATGTTCAGCAGACTGTGTTCTTCTATTGTTGTGACTTAGATGATGTTCAGAGCACATTTTATGCCCAATTCATGCAAAACTCCACGTAATCCCAAGGGGTTCACATACTTTTTCTTGCAACTGTAGGTCATTGAAGATAATGCAAAGAGTGGTTTGGAGGGTTTCAGCTTCCACTGATTCCAGTATCCCTCCCACCCTAATGTTATGGTGCCTGCCCCAGTTATCTAAATCTTCATTATGCCCATGCATAACTAGAAGATGTGAGAGCTGTGCATCATGTGAGTGCTGTACCTGGTGGATGGCTTTTGTATGGTAGTGAGCCGTTTGCTCCAGAGCATTGAGCCATGTAGCGATAGCTTGGATATCAGCCTTCAGGTAAGTGCTGTGGTAAATGTGTTCTTGTAACTGAGGCTACTTTCTGGAGGTCGGTCAGACTCACACAATGGTTGGAGTGGGCATACAATTTGTCTCCGGTCTCAGCCCGAGTATTTGAGCCACTAATAGGCAAGTGCGGGATCGCAGCCTGCAATGCCATGTGGCTATCTGAGGTCTGGGATTGGAACAAATCCGGGATGTTCCTGATAAGCTGAGTTCTTGACTCCCTGGGCTTATGGAAGGCTGAGACACTCTGGCCTATCTTCCCCATGTCAGATTGGGCTATGGAACTCTGCAATAAAGCTTATGGTGTGCCCCGATGTGCAGGAGCTCTTCAGCTAAGCGGCCATCATTGTAGATGGTCAAGCCACTCCCCCCCAAAATGTATTCTGCTACATGTCTTTGGTGAACAAAAAAAATTCCAGTAAGTGTTAATGAATTGTCTTATAGCACCTACAAACAATAGTATATATACTGGAATTTACACATTCATTTACCCAGCTATGACATACTGATAATGACAGTGATTAGAGACTTATAGTGGGACTGTGATACTGTGGCAGGCAATATGATGCTAACAGACCGTCCCTGTGAGATACACTAACTGACTATCTGACACTGACATCAGTAGTGACAGCAATACAGCGATCAGATATAATACTGTACACTGTTACTGTATTAATGACACTGGCTGGGAAGAGGTTAATATCAAGTGGCGAACATGGGGTTAACTGTGTGCCTAACAAGTGTAACATATGTAAAATGTGCTGCTCTTGCTAAGAGATCTGGTTGTATTTTCTCGCTGCTTTCCAGGGAGAAGAAACAGCCAGGTCACTGATCTGTGTTCAGAGCCAGGGGCGGACTGACAACTCATGGGGCCCCCGGGCAATAGGGGATCATGGAGCCCTTGTGTCCTTGCCCACACTCAAAGCACACCCAAAAAAGCCTATAAAAGGTGCCAGGGGCATTTCATGGGGCCCCCTACTGACCCCGGGCCCTCGGGCAGTGCCGAGTGCTCAAATGGTCAGTCCGCCCCTGTTCAGAGCGCTGTGTGTTTGTGGACACAGGACTCTGTGCTCTGATTGGCTACAAGCAAGTATCAGACATAAATTATTTGCCAGGACCTACTTACAAAATCGCGCTGTAGGCAGTGACAGTGTGGGTCAGAAGGGAGCATGACCGCCACAAACTCAGAAGAGGCTAGATGATGTACATGTACATGATCCAGCCTGGCAGTGAGGGTGGGAGGAAAGCAGTTAAATTCTAGCCCATCAGCATCCATCCATAACTAAGGACTTAAATGAGAAATTTGTAAAATGAAGAGCCTACATGAATACAAATGTTTTGTAATCATGATGTGATACTGTTGGAGCTGGGGTTGGGTTACAGATTACAAGTGTTATTAGCAAAATGACTGATGTGGAATGTCTTACAGCATCAAAATCATATTTGAAGTTTTGGATCATGTTCTACAGAGTTCCTGGAGAACTAAGAAGCAAGCCTGCAAATGGATTTGAGTTGCTTCAGCACTGTTAAAATAATGAAAAAAATAATCCTGTTGCCCATAGCAAAACTATATCTTCTCTTGTTCTCTTGCATGCTGAACTTGGTGATTGAAAAGAACAGTGTGATTGTTTGCTGTGTTCAATTAAAGCAATGCTTACATTAGGCATTTAGATAAGTAAGGCACCCCTATCCAAGTGCACCCACATATACAGCCACTGAAAATACATGACATATCACCCAATGCTTTCTCTGGATTTATAGTTTACGGTATAGTTGTATTCCTCCACAATTTTAAACCTACATTGCCAGCTTCATTTTTTGCTCTGCACCTGAAGCAGGATTAGCTGGTGAAACACAGAACTCATTGTTCATGCTAATCCCTGTGCTTCTCCCTATGCCGTTTCCCCCTTGAGCTTACTGTTAATAAAATCCCCCTTCTTGCAACCAAAATCTATTGTCGGGGGTTTATTATTCATGAATCTGATGAGTGACAGGATTTGAGGCATTTTGCTCTCATACGGGACCTATGGCCTCAGTTTTTAAATGACAAGGTTAATCAGCTTCCAGCTATTTTTTCTACCCTAGCACACTAATGATTTATGTTGACATTGTTACATGTGGCTCTTCGGAAATATGAGCTTTTGATCTTGGTCCTCAGTCCTGTTTAACCTGAGTTGCTCTGCTAATGAGGGCATAAGCACTGCTCTATGTCTGGGAGCTGCACAGGGGTAAGGAAATGCAGGAAGAGATTACTTCTGATACTGGCACACTGAGGACACTGCAATGAATTACAATAGAAGGCGCAGGAATATCACGTAGAGTGTCAATCTAGTTATTTCCTGCTAGACAAGTGGCCCAGAACTTAGTCTCACAGCAGTGGCTGTCTACCAGCATGTGTGCAATCATAGCTGAGCCTGCC